ATTATGATTGAGCTTGTTCGATTTGTTTGTTTTTGTTATGCTCTGTAAATGACACTAAATAGGCCCTACTTATTTTTCTAGTTTCACGTCAGGCAACGGAGAAAAAAATATTCGGTTGCCTTTGATACAGCGCGAGCACAAGATAGTTTATAATATTTTCCACATTTCCCGATTATGAGATGTGTATGTACCTTAATACGGTTAAAATCACAATCTTTAACCCTGGTTTTTATTTACCCAAACGAATTTTAATTGATGGTAGATTCTAGCACCCTAAATAAAAATATCATATCAAAATTAAAGCAAATAATATAATCATTCAGTCCAAAATATTGTTCCTTGAATAAATATTAATCAAGTTTGTAATTTTCTCAAATGACCTGTGGAGTTCAAAATGCATAAATTTGTTGTATCCTCCGAATTTATTCATACAGACCAGTTATTGTACCGTAAGTTTTCTTTAGTGCAGATAGTACAGTAAATATGATATTACTATTGTCATTTATTTTATTATGTAATTATTTATTGTTTCTTTATTCGTGTATTCATTCTCGATTTTCGTCACGTTTACATTATATTTGGCAACTTCTTCATACAAAGCGTTATTAAATGTTAATTTCCACGTAACAAATAAAAAAAAATTGTTAACTGAAATTTATAAAAGTGTTTTTTTATTTGTTTGATCTTTTGAATATTCTAAATTGGTAAAAATTTAAGTTTTTTACAATTTTTTATTCAAGAGTATTTAGACCATATTCCCAGATTGTTATATCTTCGTATATTACTTAACATTGTTACAAAATATATATATATATAACACGAAATTATTATATTTTTGCCAACTGCATCTTTTGGAATTTGTTTCACTGAAAGGAATTGAAATTTGTTTAACTAGACTAATCATAAATAAGTTTAGATTTGATTTAGTTTGCAATTTATTTAGAGTTTGCAATCAATTTATATATCAATTGGTTAGAGTTTTAGAGCACACAGAAGCGTGTAACCGGCAAAAATATAGGCTGTTGAATTACTCAACAGGGGGTATAACCTATTCTAAAGGCAAGTGGACTAATACGTTATTTGTAATTCTATACATTACATGATTTACAAGAGGAGTGATTGAAATGTCAATTAATTAATATTAATTAATATAGTTACAGAATCAATTGCCTGATAGAAACTAATCTAATTTTTGTTGTTGTAAGGCTGTTAGCATGCATTAAACAGTTCTTAAAACATAAAACTACAAAAAAGTATTTAATTAAATATGTCAATTTAATTTGAATTTTGTATTTAAATATATAAGTAGGTTATTTACTTACATGTTAATGGTGCATAAACAACAATTTAACTATTTTAACGATTCTATTTTTAGCAGTTATTTCTTTCTATAGACGTATAAGTTGTTTGAGTAAAATTAAACTGACTTTTTAACAATACTTTTGAGACACTTCGATATTAGACTAGGGTCATATTATGTAAACATTAGCAGAGTACACCAATAAACAAGCTATGAATAAATGATTGTATCTTTATTTGATCCCCTAAACCCTACAGTATCCTATACAATGGAGACTCCATGAGACAGTCTGGCTTAGGTAACTCCAGACTCACTGGATCAATAGCTCGCTTCTCTCACGTCTAAGAGCGAAGTACGGACTTCTTGGCTAACCCACGGACACCACACAACTACGGCGATCGCCTAGATAAGTATGCAAAATAATATATTTAATAAATATTAAAAATTCACAGTGGAAAGTATGTTGCAGCTGTGCTGGCTAGGAGCCGTCCACGACAACTAACCCCCTCTATCGCCACAGGTCGATACTAGGCCACGCCCCCTCGTCTGGACCAATCACAGCGCTGAGTTCCCACAGGGGGAAGTGGAGTCGTGGTAACAGCTGGTCTCGCGCGTTCATCACTTCTTTTCAAGCCTCGTTTTGGTTTATGATGTTCAGACCGCTTTTCAAATGCTAAATCGGACACCCCTGAATACTTTTTGGTTGACCGTTTCCTCCCCCTATGATTTTGACCCATTAGACCACCGCTTATTTAAATAAACGCTCATACGATTTGTTAGTTAAATAAACACTGCCGCATATATTTGCCTGTTGAAGAGGGGCGTGAATTAATCGCGAGTAGTTCTGGAGGTTGAATTGTGTAAATTAGTACAAATTTAAGGATCTGCAGTAAAGAAAAGATTCTTAATAATACCAAACCGACTTAACAATTACTCCCCTAATGTATGCTATACAAGGAACAAATCAAGAAACAGTACAAGCAAGCATTACCGGAACAACAAAAATTGCCCACAATTTAACATCTTTTAAAACACTAATAGGTTTAAATATTTATACTAGTTTTGTTTTTGATTTGCCTTTGAAATTGTTAAAGTTTCTACACTTTTCAGTTTATAATACAGAATAAAACAATAAATATTTTGGTTTCGTTATACAGATTAAGGATGAGTCAAAATATAAAAACAAACTGTTATTTGGTTCTAGGCCTAGTGATGGATTTTTTGTTAGAGGAGTACCTCAAGGATCTGTACTAGGACCAATCTTTTTCTTAACATAATCGTACAGATTGAAAATGGTAAACTACTATATTTGTTTAGAGAAATCACTTGTCTGCAATTCTTGGGGCTTACCGCTGTTAAGTATCATATAATACTAAAAAACAAAAACTGTAAAGCCCAGTTACAAAACCATTATTTTTCGAAAACGCCAAAAATTACATTTGCAAAGTATGATTTTGGGTTTAAGCATAAAACCCCGCATAAAAAACACAAAAAGCATAAAATGCTCAGCTAGTTTAAAATTTGGTTTGATTTACAGATTTGATTCATAATTTTCTTGTATCTTGAATTATGTTGTATAATTTTATCCCTCTGTTGCGGTTCTTGTGGGTTTCTTCCAGTTTATGTTGCTGTAGTGTTTCTTCTTCTGGTACTGTGGTTAAATTTTGGATCGACAGTCCAACTTTATTGTTTGGGTATTACTTTGTTTAGGTACCAGGATGTTAATGTAAACATTTGTTTAAAGATTGGTTTGCAATGTTCTTGATAATGAGGTTAATTTAATAATTTAAGGATCTTAGTATTTCTTCCTCAAGTACGAAAACCGATTGGAAGGGAAGAGGTATGCACTTGCTGCGCACCATGAAACAATTCTAAAAACGGAAATGTCATTCCATAAATGCATGGTAAACATTTTTGGTTGTAGCAAAGTCTGAAAAAATTGTTCTTCTAAGTACATAAATTGGTGTGGGTAATTTTTGCTTAAGGAAGTTAATATTCTGTTCCCATTTTAGTTTCTCATCTGAAAAACGTCGCGTAACCTCCTTTACTGTTTTGAAGGAAAAACATTAACTGAACGATTCTGTCTCATCCTCCACCTCGCAGTTCCATGATTTCTAAATTTGATTTGATTGGTTAGCCTTTTTTTAAATCGTCTAGTTTAATTTTCCAGACTTTTTATTCTTCGGTAGCATAGAATAATCACTTATTCAATGGCGAATTTGTTTTTAGGACATATTGCTCGTTGTAGGAATAGTTACCTATCTAACACAAAAAAAGCTCTCGCACAAGAAAAGTACTTTTTACTTTTAGTGAATTTCCCATATAGGGAATGAGCTATTACCGTAGTACTCATGGTAAGACCTGGACGCGGCACCGATTTTTTTCGTTTTGAGGTCCCTAGAGGCCAAAAACACCATCTGTTCAAATTCATATACTGTATATATATATATATATATATATATATGTGTGTGTGTGTGTGTGTGTGTGTGTGTGTGTCTGTCCGTTAGCGCGATAACTCGAGCAAAAATGATCCGATTTTGATGAAATTTGGTACAAACATGTAAACCTACATTTATTCGAACGAGTTCGCGATCCAGCATAATCGGACCATGGGAACAGGGGTTTATGGGGGGTTTTATGGGGTAAAATGGGGTTTTCCCATTCCCCCCCCCAAAAAAACATAAAATTTTAGAATTTCTTTCCCAACCATTTTGTAGAGCTTAAAAAAATAAATAAATTAGTATATTGAAGCATTGTTGTATGCCTAACGGTCACGGAGAAAATTTAAAAAAATGCAAATTTAAAATTCCCATGTTATTTTTATGGAGAAAATGAAAACTGTTGTAGTTTACTTGTTTATGGATATAAGTTATGTTGATCAAATTTGGCAAACTTTTTTATTTCATCCTATACTATTGTTGTTTGGTCAAAAAACACTGTTTACCTTCCCCGTAGCAGCAAACCTAAGCACTCGTTATATGTAATGATATTTAAATTGGGAATAAATATGTCTTATTTATGGAAGTATTTTAGTAAATATGTAATCAGACAAGTTGAAATTCGCTTTGTCTGCAGGTTTGCTGCGGCGGGGATATTTTAGGTTGTCTTGATATGTGAATAAGTAGGTATATCTATGCACCTAGTGAGTTCCAAACATGCCCAGTGGCAGTGAGTCCTTCTAGAGTCACGAAAATTACAGTATTAGCCTACATAGCTAAGTCATTGGTGTTTGCAAGATATGAACTTGGACCCTAGGAATGAAGTGTTGTCGTGGAGAGCATAGACGACTCCGAGCCACCAATATGATTTAGTAAGAGCCACCAATGACTGTCGAAGTTCAAGGAATGACTTTTTAGATTACCACCCAGCCGCTATATACACACATACACTCCGTTGAAGACGTCAGTAGGCAAATGCGTCTTGACAATAGTAGTGTTTACCTTACCTAATCTGTTTCCTAGAAGTTTCACCTTCGCCTAATTGGTCTCGAAGTGACCTCGCTGATCCGACCGCGGAAAGAGCATCAGTAGGAGGGGTGAGTCCACTTCCCCCTGCGCGACTCCTCCTCCGGCCAGTAGGGGTGGTAGCTACCCCCTCCACCGCTGTAGCGTGTAGCGTGTAGCCTAGACCCGACGACGGCAGTCGCTACCCGTGTGGACTGAAGCGTGTGCCTTCAGAGCCGTGTCATCATCACGCCACAGTAGACTATCACGCCACCGTCGTCTTCACACCTGATTGGTCATCGGCCAAGCATGAGTCCGAGTGTCCGTGTTTAACTAGTGTAGTCTCCGTGTACGGTACGTGTCGCGCCGTGTCGGTGTCGGTGTCACTTCGTCCAGGATTAGAGCCCAAGACTCGAGCGTGGAGCTACCCCTGAGTCTTATTGGTGAGTTGAGTTCGTCAAAACTTCGGATAGGTATTGAAAAGTAAGGTTTAGTGTCTACGAAAGTGCAATTTTTGATTAAGATGTCCAAGACAAATAGGCCTACTATGGAAAAAATAAATACTATGAATAGGGTAGACCTAATGATAGTTTCGCTGACATTGACAAACCACTCTGTAATTAGTTTGTGGCGGTAACGACAAGTTATTTATTTACTCCAACGGCAATACAGTATCATCACCAATTTACAATGTAGATATAATGTCCCCGTGACAATGTTAGGAGGTTATGGTGTAAATTACGATATTTTTTATCCCAGAATATGCGAATTGATTTTAACAGTCCTTCCTGAGATTATTATTTTAGCTTTAGATTACGATTTGTGTGAAGTTTCTGAGGTCATTGCAAATTTACAGTTTTGCAAAACCCCAACCTATTAAAAAAACAATAGCGTTGGATATTAGTCGAAGATAGCGTTATGCTTGTTTTGATATTAAATATCAATTACTGTAGTAATTATAAGAAAGAATTGTGATTCGATATCAAAGATTTATTTATTGACGGAACATGTGCATCCAAAGATGGCAAAACGTTACTTTTCAGACTAAATACATGTCATACATGAAGGTAAGAACAGACAAAAATGACTAACATAAAAATATGATGTGTGATAATTTATGAAGAATATTTACTATCACGATAACGACAGGTCAGTCTGATAATGATGACAGTAATTAATTAATTTTTAATTCATTTACGGTACCGGTAATAAATATTTTACAACATGTATCATTGAATAAGTAGGTGATTTGTAATAGGTTCTTGAATTATAATCTTAAACAAAAGTGGTGAACTAACCTAAGATATTAATTTAACAAACAACAAGGTGCATTTGACAATTCCCCGGTCTCCAAGGACTGCGGCGAAGACTTCGATGGTAAAATCTACGATTAACCTAATGGTAACCAAGGTGGACACACCAGAAAATTCATGAACTTTAGTGTACTCAAGATGTATTACCAAAACACTTTACCTAATACAACGAGTCATATGTTTTGCGTATTGCAAATGCATTTTAATGAATATTTTACTGTCAGTAAGATACAAATCAATTACAGTAATAAATAAATAAGATATAACTAGATTAAATAACGTGACAATAAACAAAAAGTATTGCAAAACGAGCAAACCCCAACATTAAGTAAATCTTGAGTGTAATTATTTTTTTTTTCCAAAATACATTTTAACGCTTTAAGCGAAACCGTAAATATTTGTTGTTACACTTTGAACATACATGTGTCTTACATTAGCCTGTAGATTGTTCTCTTTATTATAGGTTTGCAAGTACCAGGCACGAATATATGATGATTTTAATAGACTAAGGTATCCTAAAAAAATAAATTTAATTTGTATTCATTTAGATCAAGTCCAAGTAACCTGGAGATCAGTTAATTTTGTTTTAATTTGGGGATGTATTTTTTCGCTATGTTTATATGAATAACATTAAACTAATTTCACTTTTTTTTTAACTAATTCGTTTAATTGATGGATTATAAACGCTTTTGTGGTAAGGATGAGTATTTAGAGAGTTTGAGGGATTTATAAAATATGAGTAAGCTAATATTGTAACATGTTTAGATGAGAAAGGTCACATTTTAGGTACCAAGATTGTTATTTTAAAAATGTGTAGGGTCAAAATCTATTTAAATTCTTCTGCCCAGTGGGCAGTCGTATTTTAGGTACCAAGATTGTTATTTTAAAAATGTGTGTAGGGTTAAAATCTATTTAAATTCTTCTCCCCAGTAAGATTTCTAAATATTTATGGAGGATAAAAATTCTGTTTACATGTACGATGGTAATTAGTCCGTGAAATGAAAGTAATTTGTTTGATAAACTTTCTCATCTATATTTTCAGATATTCTCTAACGATTAATATATTGTAAGTATTTTATGGGGCAAATTTACTGAATGGCCAGGTTTCAATCAAGCCAAATCATTAGTAACGAGCAATTTAGAAAGAAAAAGTAAGTTATAGCGGGCTTAAAAATCGTTGAATTGTTCTTAACGACAGGAAATGTACTACTGTAATAATAAAATGGCCAAAAATTATTTAAATGACGTTTGATTAGTAATGGGGTACGAATTTACAAATATACTAATAATAACATGCTTGAGAATATTGAAATAACGTTTGATTAGTAATGGGGTGTGAATTTACAAATGTACTAATAATAACATGGCCAAAAATTATTCAAATAACGTATGGTTAGTAACTGGGTACGAATTTACAAATGTACTAATGACATGGTCAAAAAAAATTTAAATAACGTTTGATTAGTAATAGGGTACGAATTTACAGATGTAATAATAATAACATGGCCAAACATTGTTTAAAACCGTTTGATTAGTAATGAACGGGGGTACGAATTTGCATGACATACAAGAATACTGTAAGTGGTGAGTACATTCCACAGTAATTTATGAGGCAAGGGAAATTAAGTCAGTTGTAAAACGTAAGGAGACCTGTCTCGTCTTGTGGGGTAAGCCAATTTGCAATAATGAACAGCTGATAATGATATTCCAGTCGGATGGCGAAGTTTTGGCCCGGATAATGAGGGAGTGATAATAGAGTAGATAACAACATGGCGGTCGCTTGAGTTTGTAGTACAGTGAGTCCTTGGTGTAGACGGTCGTAAAAAACTTACCTGGTTTTGAATACCAGCGTAAAGTTATAGTATATAAATGAAACGCTAATTCCTAAGTCTCCTAAACTGTTGTTGACCTGTTTTTTTATTAGACAGTAATTGGATTTTATTAGCGAAAAATTGGGTTTAGTTTCTTTTATTATTTAAAATATGACTGTCATCATGCCATTAGATTAATTATTATTGTTTTATTGTTATTCCAGACAAACTTTATTTTTTATTTTTTTTATTTACTTTTGACCAAAAATTCATCTCCGATGGTATATCAGATGCAACATCGGTGGTGACAGTGCGAATAATACACGATTAATTATACGAAGCCCCCTTTATGGATGGTTTGAAGTTTTGTCCTTTCTCACGTTTTAGGCAATAAATAGGACGTGTTAAGATACTGTAATGAATATCAACGAGTTTTTAAAATCTTAAGAAATGTTTTTGATTTTTAAGACTCATATACGTTTTATTACATAGTAATGTTTTCAAAAGTCACGTTCTCGAAAATTTCTTGATTGTCGTTCATGCGGTTTGAGAGGATTTCGCATTAAAATTGAGATAATGTTTTGTTTTACAGTATCATACTCTTAGACGTCTCAAGATTGGGAATACGTTAGGGATAAAACAAAGAGTTTGTAAAACGTATGTTAGTGTTGGTTTGAGGTAATTTACTCGATTAGTTTATTTATACTGGGTGTCGGGCCGCGCTTATGATTTCCACACTTAATTGAGTGCGCAGTACAAGATGTTTTAAGATTTTATGCTCCTTATAGTACAGTAAACTACACAGTGTTCAGATTACTGTGGTGTTAGTTCAAATACTCACTTTTTTATTTCGTCGGAAGAGAGACACCGACACAATATTACAGAGCAATATGCAAGATTAAAGGATTACAATATGTCAAATAATTGTCTAAGGATCTTATTCTGACGTTTGTAAATTACCATAATTATAAGGTTTGCAAATGTGTTGTGAAGGAATACAAAAGTTTTGGTTTATACGACAAATGGCTAGTGGTGTTAGTTTACCAAAAGGTTTTTTTTTCTTTTCAAAATGATGTGTATTTCTAAGACAGACTTGGCGCCATTTGCTAAATTTGTAAGTGCAGAAAATATAATATTTTGATTTTTTATAACATTAGAATTATTGGTTCACTAAGTCCACGTCCATAACAACAGCCCACTGTTGGTTGACGTTGACAATCTATGTAAAGCTTGGCATTTGTTGCTGGAATTAACTACTTACATCAGCATTCTGCACTTACACAAAGACAAGACAAATATATTATGCATAAAGAATAATTGAAACATTCAATTATTCTGAATATTAAACAGTGACGGTGCTGATAAGGTAGGCGAATGTAAAAAGATTAAACCAGCAGATAGATTAGATTTTTGTAGATCACTTGCAGTTTAGTTGTTCAAACATGTTCTAAAGATAGATCGGCGGCGGTTTTTCGATTTGTTTTATTTTATTTCGCGTAGGAGTAATAAATATTTTGAAAAAAGGAAATGCTAAGGGTATTGTAGGACTCAAAAGTGTATTTTTACAATTTCCATAGCCTCCGTGAGGATATTAGAGTTGTAATTTGGATTAAAATATATGTGTATTAATTGCACACAAAAAAGGTGCACACAACAATTTAGTTTAAGATACAATTATCAATTTTGAAGCTTTTTAATGAATACATTGATAGCAAAAACACATATTTCTTATACTGGAAATCGAGAAATCTAGATTTATTTGCCTTTGTTCGTGGATAATATTGTGATTTCGCATCGTCAAGGATGTGTAAATACACAAAAAGCTATCATAATGACTATTCGTGAGTAAGTGCAAATATTTGTTTCTAATTACGAGGTAATTTTGAATTTAAGTAACAAATTTGTAGCAAAATAGAAACTATAAAGGTCACAATTTACTTATTTTTTCCATCGATTAGATTAAAATACAGTCCAATTCCACAACATCCATGCGGTAATTTTGGCATTGGAGAGGAAGAAAATTAATTGAGTCCATTTTAGAACGAAAATAAACATTATTACGAATTTTGCAAAACAAATAACAGTTTTCGATAAAGACCGATAATAACAAATCGGAGTTAAAGGCATTCAGCGATTGGTTCTGCTAATCTATAGTTAATACCAGGCGATAATGAGTTTTCCCGCGTTGTATTAAAATGCAATGTAAATTCTGTGGAAATAATTTAAAATGTCCGACACCTGATAAAAACCGGCGAAATAATTAATGCGAAACTGCACGAGCCGTAACAGGCTTTGTCCGTGATTGGTTTTCCCCGAGTT